GTAAAATTTTGTGTAATTACATTTTAATTCAAATGTATCAAGTTGGTGTATCATGCTTAATGAGACGACCAATATTTATATTTATAATTAGAGATATTGTTTGATACTCATAGCTAAAGTTGGATGTAATATAATTTAATTTATATAATTTAGTATAATCTTTATTTCTTTCTTATTATAAATAATTAAAATTTAAAACTTATATATGAGTTGGCCGTCAATAGAAATAAGGTAGATTGACATTTGAAAAAAAATTAATACCTTAACTTTCACAGCTCGTATCTCGAGTCGTGTATTATTTTTCTTTCAAATATCAATCTGCGAATACGTACAAATTATGTTAATGCAGGCCTGTGCTAGAAGTCACGTTACCGGGCAAAAAAGATGCTCTAAATCTAACCAATAAATTATCAACACGAATTTATATTAATAAAAAATAAGTATCGCTTTTTTTTTGTTTCAAAAATTAGTATTGATTCTTTTTACGAAAAAAAAAAAAAACAATATACTATACAAAACTATTCCTCAACTATCACAATAGAAAATATAAACATGACACTTGCAAAAATAGCATTCAGTGTTATTGGAATATATACATGTTTTCTCACCTGGGGAATTTTACAAGAACGTGTTTCGACCACTTCATATGGAGATAAAGAAACAAGATTTAAATATTTCTTTTTTCTTAATACGATTCAAGCATTTACAGCATCGATTGTAGCAATAATTTATATAAAATTTAGTGGAGAAAATCTTGGAAAAGTTAATTCAATTATATTATTTAAATTTTTACAAGTATCATTTCTTGGAGTTATAGGATCACCAATTGGATATGAAAGTTTAAAACATATTGATTATCCAACTTTTGTTCTTGGAAAATCTTGTAAGTTAGTACCAGTAATGTTTATGAATATAATTCTTTATAAAAAAAAATTTCCAATTTATAAATATATTGTTGTTACATTAATTACAATTGGAATAACAATTTTTACATTACTTCAAAAAACTTCGGAAAAAAAGAAATCATCAGAACCTAGTTCATTTTATGGTATAATATTACTTACAATTAATTTATTAATTGATGGAATTACAAATTCTACTCAAGATCAAATGTTTAATAAGTATAAAATTACAGGAAAACAATTAATGTTTTATATGAATTTATTTAGTGGAATTTTAATGAGTTTTTGGTTATTAAATCCTTTTAATAATGAACTTTTTAATGCTTTAACATTTTGTAAAAATTATCCTAATATAATTATAGATATTTTATTATTTTGTTTATGTGGATCATTAGGTCAATGTTTTATATTTTTTACTTTACATAATTTTGGATCATTATTTTTAGTTACTATAACTGTTACTAGAAAATTTTTTACGGTATTATTATCTGTATTTTTATTTAATCATATTTTAAATATTGGACAATGGTTTGCAGTTGGATTGG